AGGCGAGGTAGTTAACATCTCGTAGGGTCTGGGATCGAACCCACGACCTCCTGCGTACCAGGCGAGGCAGTTAACATCTCATCAGGGTCTGGGATCGAATCTACGATCTCCTGCGTACCAGGCGAGGTAGTTAACATCTCACAGGGTCTGGGATCGAACCCACGCCCTCCTGTACACCAGGCGAGGTAGTTAACATCTCACAGGGTCTGGGATCGAACCCACGACCTTCTGTACACCAGGCGAGGTAGTTAACATCTCACAGGGTCTGGGATCGAACCCACGACCTCCTGCGTACCAGCCAAGGTAGTTTACATCTCGTAGGGTCTGGGATCGAACCCACGACCTCCTGTGTACCAGGCGAGGTAGTTAACATCTCGTAGGGTCTGGGATCGAACCCACGACCTCCTGTGTACCAGGCGAGGTAGTTAACATCTCGCCACCGTGGCGACCCAACCACTGTGCATAGTAACAACTGCAGCCCCCCGACTGGCAGACTGATGCCCGCTCGTTAGCAAGGTGCCGGGTCGCCACGCAGAGACAGCTGCCGATGGGGGCGCCCTTCGAATGTTTGCGATGAGATGTGGCGTAAGGTGTTCTGTTCGCTACCAGCACTTGCCCCAGCAGCCTGCTGCGGCTATAATCGGGGCGGGGATCTTTGTCTTTGCGCACCCAGGCATTCAAGAATTCCCGGAGAACATCCGCTGTTGCAAGTGCCTGTCTGTGTTAGAAGCGAGCGTGAACCCCATTAGCAAGTGAGTTCACACACACACGCACGCACACATGCGCACGCACACCACACACGCACTCACACACACACGCATTCACACTAGCACACGCACACTAGCACACGCACACACGCATGCATGCACTAACACACGCGCACACACATGCACTGGCACACACGCACGCTCACACGCACACACGCATGACTTCGAACACGCTCACGTGCATGCACTCGCACACACGCACTTGCACACACGCGTACACGCGCACACGTACACACACGCACAAACACACACTACCACACGCACACACACACACACACGCGCATGCACTAGCACACGCACTCACGCACTAGCACATGCGCGCACACACGTGCACTCGAATACACGCATGCACTCACACACACGCACATGCTCGCACACACACGTGTACTCACATACGCACGCAGTCGCACACACGCGCATCCACGCACTCTCACACACGTGCACGCGCACACGCGCACACATACACCCTGGTTAGCGCTACGCCGCACTAAGAACCCGGCCACCCGAGTTCGATTCCCGCTCACGGCCAACACCAGTCACGATTATTTTAACTGGTCCTGGTGCCTCCCCTAGGTCGACTCAGCTTCAAATGGGTACTTGGTGCGGTGTAGTAAACATCGCCACTGGGGGGAGACAAAGGCGGTCGAGCGGGCGTGGTGCTATGCATAATGTCTGTTAATTGCCATACAAACAACGCAACCGGCAATGGATACCCATAGTCATTGCTATGCATTCGTTAATCTCCCCACCGCCACTTCGCACAGGAAGTGCTCACAAGTGACGTCAACACATCTACCCCTCTATCTAAGGAAGGAATCGGGAGGATTTCTCCACTAATCTGGCTGTCGCCTGATGAAGCCGGTTGCCAATTGCCGGCGAAAACGTCGTGCTCAGATTGTAAATGTTGCGGCTTCGCTCTCCAACACAATCTCGATTTAAAGCTTTCGTGACTGCAGGGATTCATCTTCTTGGTTCTTTCGGTAAAGTCACGTAGAAGGGAAGTAATTAAATAATAAAAATATAACATAATAATATATATAATAATATATAAATAAAACATAATAAAATAATAATATAATACAATGTTTATTATGTTTTCTTTTATTATTTTATTACTTCCCTTCTACGTGACTTTACAGAAAGAACCAAGAAGAACACACGGTCTGTGTGCCGCTGTGCTCGTCACGAATTGACCACGTCCTGTTCACGTGACAAACCCATTGCTGATTGGCTGCGTCGGGTGGCGGCGGGTTTAACGGCACAATTATATGATCACGTGATCTAAACCCCCCCCCAAAACAACCTGTATTATGGATGATGTTGGCCGTGAGAGTCCTGCTACGTGGTAAGCAGTGGCGGCTCCTGCAAAATCTCTCAGGGGGGGCAAATGTCTGGATGATTGATAAGGATAAGGTCCACCCATGCAATGGATAAAATGACAGCTTAAGCATGTAAAGGCAACTTCACTTCTTTAATATTGATGAAAAATAAAGTGACTCTTACAATACATCTTGTTTGTTTCTATACTCACTATTAATACAATCCACTCAAGTTTATTTTATTAAAGATTCCACTAGGTGGCCACAATTATATTGTTGGATGAAACGTGCTTACGTATGATGACGTAAGCACGTATGATGACGTAAGCACGTTAGGGCGAGCCCTCCCGGAAGCCATAGAGAATGCATTGCAACGCCCGCCGTTCGAAAAAAACATCTTTGAATGTAAGTCTATGGGGCAAATCGGAGCGATTCTCAGCCGGAGTGAAATCGCCCAAAAAGAGGCGGTACTCCACAGAACGTAGCATGACGCTGATTGGACTATATCCAGAGGCACAGTGACGGCTAGCGTGACTCTGTGGTTGAATGACATTGGTGGTGCGTCGCCCAATCGCCCTAATGAAGAAACCGCCCCTGCTGGTAAGTGTTACGGAGGACCTCTGTCTCTGTGTGCAGGTTGCCAGAAGGGTTCACTCAGCTCCTAAACCTGACCCAGCTCTATCTGAATGATGCCTTCCTCGAAGCGCTGCCCGGCAACTTTGGCAGGTAAACACGCACACGCACGCACACACGCGCGCGCACGCACACACACGCACACACGCGCACGCACGCACACACGCGCGCGCACGCACACGCACAAAGATAAAGACCCCCGTATAGCCTGAACAGACTGTAGGGGCAAGTGCTGTTAGCGAGCACCTATGAAGGCCGGAACGGTACACGAGGGGGTGGGTGGCCAGCACCACGCACATGCACACACACACACGCACATGCACACACGCGCACACACACACACACACGCACACGCGCACACACACGCACTGCACACGCACACACACGCACACACACACATAACAAAGATAAAGATCCCCCCATCCCCGTGTAGCCTACGCAGACTGTCGGGGCAAGTGCTGTTAGCGAGCATCGAGCAACCTATGAAGGCCGGCACTGTGGCACGGGGGGGGGGGGGGTGGCCAGCACCACGCCTGACCGCCTTTGTCTCCCTCAGTGGCGATGTTTACTAAATGCCAGCTACTCATTTGAGGCCCAGTCGACGTAGGTGAGGCCCAGATCCGGGTCGGACAATAGTCACCGGTGTTGGCCGTGAGCGGGAATCGAACTCGGGTTACCGATCACACTTAAACAGAAATACAAAGGTCTCCCGTACAGCCTTAACAGGCTGCTGGGGCAAGTGCTGTTCGCGAGTGGCACCTATGAAGGCCTGCACGGCAGATGGGGGAGTGGGTGGCTAGTAACCGCCTTTGTCTCCCCGGTGGCGATGTTTGCTACACCACCGCACCAGGTACGCATTTGAGGCCGAGTCGACCTAGGGTGAGGACCAGATCCCTGTGAAACAATCGTCACCGGTGTTGGCCGTGAGCGGGAATCGAACTCGGCACGCACGCCAGCGATCACCATTTCCCGATATAGACCGTGCAACCGAGAGCCGCGTTGTTCTTTCCCAGAATAAACCGTGGTCTTGACGAGACGTGATGGGGAGAGCGGAGGGTGAGAGAGAGAGTGAGAGAGAGAGTGAGCGAGAGAGTGAGCGAGAGAGTGAGCGAAAGAGTGAGCGAGAGAGTGAGCGAGAGAGTGAGCGAGAGAGTGAGCGAGAGAATGAGCGAAAGAGTGACCGAGAGAGTGAGCGAAAGAGTGAGCGAGAGAGTGAGCGAGAGAGTGAGCGAGAGAGTGAGCGAAAGAGTGAGCGAGAGAGTGAGCGAGAGAGTGAGCGAGAGAGTGAGCGAGTGAGTGAGCGAGCGAGAGAGTGAGCGAGAAGTGAGCGAGAGAGTGAGCGAGAGAGTGAGCGAAAGAGTGAGCAAGAGAGTGAGCGAGCGAGAGAGCGAGCGAGTGAGCGAGCGAGAGCGAGCGAGAGAGCGAGCGAGAAGTGAGCGAGAGAGTGAGCGAGAGAGCGAGCGAGCGAGAGAGCGAGCGAGAGAGTGACCGAGAGAGTGAGCGAGAGGTGGGAAGTTACATAAAGCAAAGTTATAAAAAAAAATTACGAAATGATGAACGAAGCAAAGTGCCGACTACACCGAGCATCTTCTTGTTTCCACTGATCGTAAAAAGAGAGAGAGAGAGAGATGTAGCCAGAGAGAGAGAGAGAGAGGAGTGGGGTGGTTGGAGAGTGGGGAGAGAGAGAGTCTAAGCATACAGAGAGACATTGAGACGTGAGATAGAAGAGAGAGAGACAGGAGGAGAGATCGTGTAATTGTTCAGACAGACTTTTGACTTCCAAACAACTTTTATTGCCGCCAGCAGCAAAAGCACTGGAGGCGATTTCGATACGAAACACAAAAAGTCACCAGCAACACAAATGAAAATAAACGCTACAAATCCACGCGCTGTCATGGCGCTAAAAGCCCCGCGCACAACACGAAAGAAAAGTCACGTGGTGGTGGTTGTGGTGGTGGTTGTAGTGATGGTGGTAGTGGTTGTGGTGGTGGTTGTAGTGGTGGTGGTGGTTGTGGTGGTTGTGGTGGTGGTGGTGGTGATGATTGTGGTGGTGGTGGTTGTGGTGGTGGCTGTGGTCATCGCGCACGCCACGGTGACGAGTGAGCGCTTCAGAAGGTGAACACCACGAGGTGCCGTCCACGCTGGTACAGAGAGGGGCTTGTCCGGCTCCCCAGCGTTCAAAGAAGACGCGAGATTCTTCTCGCGTGTAAACTACACGCACATGCTTGCCACAAGTGAACCCACAATGCATTGGTGATCTCGTCGAGGAGCACGAAAACGTCATCACGCCAACTCCGATTATGCTCGCAGCAACAGCAGCGGTTTTTGGCTAAGCCATCGAACAAATACGGGGGTCGCCGCATTATCGCGCGGCACGTTCGGATGCGCTTCTGCGGCCGTCTGGAACGCTCTTCCTTCCGACGTTAGGAAGCCACCGGAGCTACGCAACTTTAAAATCACCATCCAGATTTGAACCTTTTGATTTTTTAATCCTGACCAATCGTCTTTGAGGCCTCCCTGCACCAATCAGAGGGCTTGGTTGAAACTTACAAAACTAAAAACTTACGAAACTAACGAAACTAAAAAACTAGTGAAGCTGACGAAACGAACGACGCTAACAAAACTAGCGAAACTAAAAAACTTACAAAACTGACGAAACTGACGAAAATAACGAAACTTATAAAACGAATGAAACGAATGAAACTAAACAATTAACGAAATTAACGCAACTAACGATACTCGCACTACTAACGCATCTAACGAAACTCACGAAACTACCGAAAGTAACGCAACTAAAACTAATGAAACTAATGAAACTAACGCTACTAACACACCTAACGAAACTCACGAAACTACCGAAAGTAACACAATTAACGCAACTAACGAAACTCATGAAACTAACAAAAAAACTAACAACACTTGCGAAACTCACGAAACAAACGAATCTAATAAAAATAACAAAACCTACAACGCGAATGAACTAACGAAACTAACAAAATGAACTAAACAAAAACTAGGGTGGAGCGGCAGTGCAGCGGCTAGCGCTACGCTGCGCTACGAACCCGGCGACCCGAGTTCCATTCCCGCTCACGGCCACCAACGCCACCGGTGACGATTATCTGAACCGGTCCTGCGCCTCCCCTAGGTCGATTCGGCCTCAAATGAGTACCTGGTGCGGTGTGTAGTAAACATCGCCACTGGGGAGACAAAGGTGGTCACAGCCGTGGTGCTGGCCACCCACCCCCTCTTGTGTCGTGCCGTCCTTCATAGGTACTACTCGCTGACAGCACTTGCCCCACAAGTCTGTTCAGGCTATACGGGGGATCTTTACTGGTGTACGTGTGTGTGTTTACTGGTGTACGTGTGTGTGTTTACTGGTGTACGTGTGTGTGTGTACATTTACTGGTGTATGTATCTGTGTGTGTTCACTGGTGTACGTGCGTGTGTGTTTACTGGTGTACGTGTGTGTGTACATTTACTGGTGTGTATGTGTGTGTGTTCACTGGTGTACGTGCGTGTGGTTTACTGGTGTACGTGTGTGTGTGTACATTTACTGGTGTATGTATTTGTGTGTGTGTTCACTGGTGTACGTGCGTGTGTGTTTACTGGTGTACGTGTGTGTGTGTACATTTACTGGTGTATGTATTTGTGTGTGTGTTCACTGGTGCACGTGCGTGTGTGTTTACTGGTGTACGTGTTGTGTGTATATTTACTGGTGTATGTATCTGTGTGTGTGTTCACTGGTGTACGTGCGTGTGTGTTTACTGGTGTACGTGTGTGTGTGTACATTTACTGGTGTATGTATCTGTGTGTGTTTACTTGTGTATGTGCGTGTTTATTTACCGGTGTACGTACGTGTGTGTGTGTGTGTTTTTACCGGTGTATGTATCTGTGTGTGTGCAGGCTGGCCAAATTACAGATCTTGGAGCTAAGGGAAAATCACCTTAAGACGCTACCCAAGTAAGACACGCCGTCACGCTGACACACAGACAGACATACACACGCCTTCACTACATAGACACGCACACACATGCACAGACAAACTAAGGAAACACAAACAAGACAAAGATGCCCCTGACAGCCTTTGGGGATTCCTGGGGCAAGTGCTTGTGTGGCGATGTTTTTGCACACCTCAACGAAAACTCATTTAAGGCTGAGTCGACCTAGGCGAGGCCCGGGAACGGTTCAGATAACCGTCACCGGTGGTGTTGGTATAGCCGCGAGCGGGAATCGAACTCGGGTCGCCGGGTTCGTAGCGCTGCGCTCACCGCTGCGCCACCGCTCAGAGAGATTCTCATCCAGATTTGAAGCTTTCGTGACTGCAAGGATTCATACTCTTAGCTCTTTCGGTAAAGTCACGTAGGTAAAACAAAATGAAATTAAAATTAATAAAAATAAAATAATAAAATCACGACGTTTCGGAGGCAACACAAGCTTCCGTCATCAGGTGGGACCGTCACAGCTGAATTTGCTGCATCAAGTGAGGCAGGGATTCAAGATGCAAGAGACTAGGCTCTAAGGAAGCTGTCTCGGGTGTGGACCAATCAACTTCAAGGACAGTGCATACATTATCAGAGTTATGTTCTTTTGTTTGTATTATGACTGCAGGTATTGCGGTCTATGCAAACATGACTTCTTGTAAAAAGGTGTCAGTTTTGTTGCCAGATAGAAGGGTAAAAAACCAATTATCATATTTTTTTACTGGCAAATGAGGTTCCAATGGTGTAAATGCTTACCCCGAGCTCTCATACTCTGATGATGCATTGTCTTTGAGTTGTGCGCCTTTTGGCGTCATCTGGTCCAACACCATGTGAGACTAGGCTCTAAGGAAAGCTGTCTCGGGTGTGGAACAATCAACTTCAAGGACAGTGCACATACATTATCAGAGTTGTGTCTTTTGTTTGCATTATGACTGCAGGTATTGCGGTCAATGCAAACATGACTCCTTGTAAAAAGGTGTCAGTTTTGTTGCCAGATAGAAGGGTAAAAAACAATTATCATGGTACTTAAGAGCTTGCATCTTTAATCCCTCCCTCACTTGATGCAGCAAATCTGGCTGTGACGGTCCCACCTGATGACGGAGACTTGTGTTGCCTCCGAAACGTCGTGATTTAATTTTTTATTTTTATTAATTTAATTCATTTTTACCTACATGGTGACTCTACCGAAAGAACTAAGCGTAAGCTTCTCATCCAGCAGTGGAGTGACAAAGGGGCTCCGTTGTGCGTGCCGCGCGGTGTCCGCGCGCGTGATCGTGGTGCACGGTTGGCGGGTAGGATGGCAGTCGGAGTTTAAACTAGCACGTGTGTGCGTGTTTACTACACACTCACTACTACACACTACTACACGTGTCTCTCTGTGTGTCTCCGTGTGTCTCTCTGTGTCTCCGTATCTCCCAACTCCCCCGTGTCTCTCTGCGTGAGTCCATGTCTCTATGTGTCTCCGTATCGTTTCGTCTCCCAAATCCCCCGTGTCTCCACGTGTCTCTCCACGCGTCTCTCCGCGTGTCTCTCCGCGTGTGTCCGTGTCTCTCTGTATCTCCGTATCTCCCAACTCCCTCGTGTCTCTCTGCGTGAGTCCATGTCTCTATGTGTCTCCGTATCGTTTCGTCTCCCAAATCTCCCGTGTCTCCACGTGTCCTCCGCGTGTCTCTCCGTGTGAGTCCGTGTCTCTCTGTGTCTCCCTATTGTCCCGTCTCCAAACTTCCGTGTCTCCGCGTGTCTCTCCGCGTGTCTCTCCGCGTGAGTCCGTGTCTCTCTGTGTCTCCGTATCGTTTCGTCTCCCGACTCCCACGTGTCTCCGCGTGTCTCTCCGCGTGTCTCTCCGCGTGTCTCTCCGCGTGTCTCTCCGCGTGTCTCTCAG